TTGAAAAAATCCAAAGTACCTACTGGTATAATCGAAAAGGATCGTCGTGGAGGTAGATGTCAATCATTTACATTACAGGATGCAGCAAATAGAAAACTGATTGAGGCTCATATTAATCGATTCCCTAGGGTTGAGTCCCATTATTGTCGAAAAGATACTGCTCGGAATACCTCCATAGCGACTTAACTTTAAAAAGGATGTACACAATGTTTATAGAAGAGTTGGAACCCAATACCCATGTTTCACAACATACAGAACGATTTTTAAAAGTATGAATCTCTCATTTTACAGACCAAAAGAAAGACCAGTGCGGTTTATGCAAAACCTACCACGAAGGATCTGTAGAAACAAAATTGAAACTGCAGGATATTTATGACGAACACACGAAATCCAAAAACGCCGTGCGTGAAATCAAGAACTCTTCCAAGATTGCCGCCCAAAATAATCACAACCTGCTTTGCATGTGTTTTGATCTTCAACAGGTAATTTATTTACCAATATCCAACGATGGTGCGATTTTATAGCCTCTTGAGATTGCTATTGCTATGTTTGGAATGAGTGCGATAGTGGCAGAGGTGGTTCTGAAATAGCAACAGCACTGTGTAGAACACTGCTAAAGTACGATGAAAGGCAAGTTCGTTCTGTCGACTTATTTTCAGACGGTTGTGGAGGACAAAATCGGAATACCATTGTGGCAGGAGCTCTCTTGTACATGTCTTCGCAATTAAAACACGTACAAGAAATTAGCCTTCGTTTCTTTACCACCAATCATGGGCAATGTGAGGGTGATTCGGCCCACAGCGCAATTGCATACGCCATGAAAAAGGCGGGAGAATTAATTGTGCCATCTCAACTTACACCGGTGTTTCGCCTTGCAAGAAATTCAAAATTATAAGTCTTTACCTCATACTAATGGATAAACTTTTTAAATTTCATCTAAAAATTGAAATACAAGGTATTTTTATTTTTGTCTACGGGATTTTGGTTAAGTTGAGAATTATCTGATTGTTTTTCTTTTGTTACATAAAACATAATAATATTTATGTTATTGCTGTTTCCTTGGGAAACACGCCAATAAAGTAGGTACTTGAATACGTCCATTTTATTGTTTAAATTTTTGACGTACATGACTGAACAGTTATTTTATTTATATTTTGTACTTAACTAGTATTTTACTTTTTTTTATAAGAGGAGAAGGTATATCCACCGTTAGTTATGTTAAGTTAAGTTTTGTATTCCTTAATAGGTAATAAAGATATTATTTTTGTTTGTATTTTATTATATTGCTGTTTTATATTGACCATATATTTTTTCATTTTGTCTTTTTGTTGTTTTACAAAATATATTACTTTAATAATAGTGTATTATTGTAAATTATTTTGATCCCAATTTTACAATTTCAGCCTCTTTACCTATGAATTTAAAAGGACGTATCTCTATCAAATAATAGGCACAACTTTTATTTTTAGTAAAACAAAAAGGCGTATCTCAAATAGAAGCTAAAAAAAATATTAATAAAGAAGCCAATAATAATTTAAAATGAGCTGAGTATTTACTAATTCCTGATAATGATAACTGTACAAAAATAAGTACACTGTTTACAACAGCTTTTTACTCAGACGCAAATTAAGAACGATACTTTCCCTTTAAATTGCTCTACTGTAAAGTTGCAAAAAACGAGATACGCCTTTACGTATTTTCACCCTCGATATGTTGCAAAAAACGCTTTCACAGACAAAGCAGAATAGGCCGGTGCATTGTCTTGGTGATTCTTCCACGATTTGGTCTTCCACAAATCGGATCTTCGTCTTTTCACACGCTCACGAAGGACGGTCAGTACTTCGATGTAATAATGTTGATTAACCGTCTGACCCTCAGTTTACAAAGAAACTTGAGATTAACCAGTTGCTCCATTTGAACATTTAACATTTCTTCGACGCGTCACTGGTGCCTTGACTAATTCAAACGACTGCTACAGTCAAACTGAGCGACCCACTGACTTGTCCAGCGAGCTCAGGGTGAGGAAAGTGTCACCAGACACAGTGCTGTTCAAATTTGTCGCGACACGCTCGTAGCAGCATCAGTTCGGTTATTTAATAGCCACACCTCGTATCTTTTCGCATGCCATGTGTTATTATGAAATTGTATTACACTACTCAACGAATTGCGTATAGCGGAGGTTGTACAACAGCTCCACTTGTCACAGGACTACTGCAATCAATCAAACTGAGGCAGCACCCTTCACATGCTGCTCGAGTTGCCTATGGCGCTGTACGCCAACTTTGTACATGATCGTAAAGTTAAACATTTTGTAAATATACCTAATTAAGCCTGACTTATCGCAACAATCTCCACATCGAATCAAGTTGAGTGATTACACCGAGGACCCAACAATAGTACATCGCTATTTCCGAGAAAAAACAGTTCGCTGCTCTTCTTTGACAAGCTAGATGGTGAAATAAACGCGAGGAATGCCGTTTACGATTCTCCCATTGTTTTTTTTTTCGTCCGGTTTGTGTCTCTACGCCGAACCAAACGATATTCAAATTAACTCGTGACACGGGCAAACGAACGTACGGACATCGCGGAACGGGGCATTCTTCGGCCCGTAACAATGCCTTGTGAGGTTACGTAACGCCGAAGGAAAAAAAATGTTCTCGGAGATGCGAATTATGTTTGCGTTAAAATTTGACATACTATTTATAGAGCTTATCTGAGCGGAGATCGGCGGGCCGATGTCGGACGATCGACAGCTGAAAAAATAACACGCTCAAGTTCGTGAGGGGCCCGAAGCCAAAAGCGAAGCGTCTTCTAAGGCAGCGTTCTAACCTTCAATTATTCGTTAGTTATGGTAGAGCGGACGGTCGACTTGAGAGGAAGGAGAACGGCGCGCGGTTTCCCACACTGAGCAGGATAGATTTTTGAGAAAATCCAAGTGAAACACACAGTAAGTCAGTATCTGTTTGAAATTGAGAAGTTTGGATTTTTGATATGATCCCGAATTTTTGTTGAAATGCCTCTGGCATATCATAAGAAATAATAACACTGTCCTGCAAGATTTTGCTCATGGACAATGAATTGTTGTTTCCCAAGTAATTTCCCATGAAAACAATTGCATATCACGTCAGGTTTTGAGATATTCTAACCTAAAAGTGCAAAAAACACTGTTTTTTGACATATTTGAGGTTATCGTACCGCGATTTTATTTCTCAAAAAACTATGAGTAGGATCTTAAAGTACAAGTTTTCCACTCTTAAATGCCGTGAGTTTGTTAAAATATCTTTTTTTCACTGAGATATGGCATTTTGAAATTTTTGTGGTGTCATGTTTCAATTTGACTTCACCTACTTCGAAAACGTAGAAAATGAATAGTCAATCAAATTTTGAAATTCGCATTTTCGTATTGCTTCCGCCATAAGGAATATAATTGTTATTATCCTTTATTTTTATATTTATGTTACTATAAATTTCCAGAATACAAAAGAATCTAAGTAAAGACACCATTCTTTCATTAAAGAAAAAGTTCATGAAAGTCCATATACGCTATTGTAACTTTAGTCAACTCAGTTCGGGTATATTGTATTTTCTTCGAAAAATTTTGAAAATCTCACCAGCAAATCTTTTGACATAAGAAAATATTGACCTGTTATCTATTTTTAACTATTTTTTTACGTTTCTTATTAAAAAAAAAAACCATTTTTTTTTTACACCCGTCCCTTATGGGGTTTCAGGTTTAAGAAAAATCCCCCACAATAAATTTAAAATATAAAAAAACCCCCCCCGGTTTTAAAAAAAAATTTTTCCCCAACCCCCCCCCCTTTTTTTTGCCCCCCACCCATTTAATAAAACACCCAAAAAATTTTTTAATATTATAAAATATTAGTAGCCTTTTTTTTTTTTTTTTTTTTTTTTTTTTTTTTCTTTTTTTTTTTTTTTTTTAAAAAATTAAAAAAAAATTTTTTTTTTTTTTTTTTTTTTTTTTTTTTTTTTTTTTTTTTTTTTAAAAAAAAAATTTCCTCTTATTTTTTTTTTTTTTTTTTTTTTTTTTTTTTTTTTTCCTTTTTTTTTTTTTCCCCCCCCCCCCCCCCCCCCCCCCGACCTCTTTCATTTTTTATTTTTTTTTTTTTTTTTTTTTTTTTTTTTTTTTTTTTTTTTTTTTTTTGGGGGGGGAAACTATCCTAATTTTTTTCGTTTTTCATAGCAAGGCAGATGGTAGTGGTGATGAATGTTCCTGAAGGACTAAAGAATACGTACAAACAAAAATTTTTGTAATCGGAGCTGCTTATCAACTTTTCCGCATTTTCCGGCTTATTAAGTGGACTAAGAGGAAGACTTGTACTATGATATCCGACATATGGTTTTTTGTGAAAAAAAAATTTGCGGTGATACATTAACCTCAAATATGTCAAATAACAGTGTTTCTTGCACTTTTAGGTTAGAATATCTCAAAAAACCTGACGTGATAGAACAATTCTAGTCAGTCAGTATTTGTTTTCGTCGAGAAAAATACTTCGGAAACAACTATTCATTGTCCAGGGGACACAAAATTTTCAAAATTTGGCAGGGTAGTGTAATTTTTATATGCACTTTAAAAGTTCATTGTATTGTTACAAAAAGAGCAATAGTTCGGAAAACAGAAAAATGAAGTTTCTGCATGATGGTGTTTCAACCATTTAAATTACGCATACGACATTCAGATCATGGTTCAGACAACTTTTTTTGATATGATGAAACAATATACAAAATTTCATCCACATCAGTCTGATTTTTGTTTTCAAGTCCACATCAGTCTGAAATTTTGTACAATAATTATGAAATCCAACGCTTCGTGAAAAAACGCGACTCTTCCAAATTTTATAATGTCGTGAAAGAAGCTTTGAGCAACTTGAATATTTGTATGTGTAAAAGGGCGTTCAAACTTTCGAATCTTTTTTTTAAACCCGTTAATTAGGAGAGTCTAGGGAATATTTTAAAGTTATAAACATAATGCGCGGATTTAAGCCGCGGCGATAGCTCAGTTGATAAAGTGCCGGGTGAGAAGGTGGCGATTACTCCAAGAGCTATTATACTCGCGGGTTCGAATCCCACCTGTGGCAATTGGCACCTGTCACAGGGTTGTGGTTGTGTGTCCTATGTCTTATCCATGTGTATTCTCCCTCTGCACAATTGCAATGACTCTTAGAGGGAGAATGTCAATTTCTGTGGTGGGCTTTTATTATTTATTTATTTATAATGAAACTTTGAGAGCGCTTCGCTGTTTTTGAACTGACCAATTCCGTAATTCTCAGCAATACAGTCATAGTAGCTATGATGACTCTAGCATGGAGGAGGTGCATTTTAGGACATATATTTACAGGAAGAAAAATTCTTATTTTAGACCTCAAAAATACGCCCTTAAAATTATTGTTGTAAATTTTGAAACACCCTGTATACAAATTTTATATAGGAAACTGCTAAAAGCGGAACTCACTGAATATTTATACCTACATATATTCAGCTTTTCTGTTGGTATACACAGACCGCAAAGAACGCCGCTGCAAACTCTCGTTTCTCGTACACGCTTTATTGACTTTGCACAACTAATTTCGGTATTTGCAAGACAAACCGCGGTCCATTTCAAGTCGCAGTATCGAACATGGCCAAAACCATGTTTGCTCGCCCTTGTTGACTTTCATTTTTGAGGATACTCGCACGTATTTGAACCGCAAACATCTTAAGAGCCCACTTTTTTTGGACGAGTACGCCGAGCAAAAAAATCTGCAAATGAAGCGGAATCAGTGAATTGGTTGACAATAGGCTCCTCATATTTTGGCAATTTTTCTGCATTGAAGATGAAGTTATTCTTAGATATTGAATTAAAAGTAAAATCGAAATACCCACTTTATTTGAAATTTTCACATAAGATGTACTTCGATATAACAAAAAAAAAAAATGATTAATTCTTCAATAAAAAATAAATAACAGTTAAAAAAATCACTGTCTCTAATCAAAGTCACTAATTGATTTATCAATCAATTTATTCAATGAGAAACAATCTGAATCAAATGATCAATGTCTCTGTCTGGTACCTATCATATCCCAGACATGCTCGATTGGTGAGAGATCGGGGAGACGTGCAGGCCTTGTTCCAAAAACTGTGTCGTAACTCTTATCGTGTGAGGGCAATTTCTTGTTTAAAAATTGGTTCAGTCAACCCCCGAAGATATGGCACTGCAACAAGTTCTAAAACATAGGTTATGTAACTGATTGCAACCAAATTTCCCCGAAAGAAAACTAAATAATCCAGTCTGTGAGCCGGGGAATTAGCCCAACTAAATAAATTTTTTTTTGCATCATGTTCTATGAACTCTAAGGTCATTCGGGACTATCAGCTAACTTGGCAATCCCCCTCAGACCACCCCTATACTATTAAAACACACCCCATTCTCACCCTCATTTTTTGAGTGGTATTTAATTTTTGAAAAATGACAATTAAGAATCGGGAGTGGGTTCTAGGGAGTTTGTTTGGGTCGCTGAGCATGAATCCGATGTCATTTTTCCCGGAAAATTCATGCCACGGCCGGGAAAACTGGAAAATTGACACTTTTGCGAAAATTGAATCATTGTTCACGCGATTTGCGTTTTTTTATGTCATAAAGATATCCAGCAGCGTACAATTATATCGCATAATGAAAAACCCTGTAAATTTTCTGGAAAACTATGAACATTTTCCGGAAAACCTGGAAAGACAATTTTTCAATTTTATGAAAATTATCGTGTGATATGTCGCTATTGGGGCTTTTTGGGGCTCTGATCATGAATACGATGTCACTTTCCCGGAAAATTCATGCCACGGCCGGGGAAACTGGAAAATAGGGTCACTTTTGCGAAAATTGAATCATTTCACGCGATTTGCGTTTTTTTACGTCATAAAGATATCCAGAAGCGTATAATAATAACGCATAACGAAAAACCAAGTGAATATTCTGGAAAACTATGAAAATTTTCCGGAAAACCTGGAAAGACAATTTTTCAATTTTATCGAAATGATTGTGTGATAAGTCGCTATAGGGTTTTTTTTGGGCCGCTGATTGAGAATGTTATTTCATAAATTGCTGAAATTAACATTTAATTAATTATAAGATGCAGGTATTTCAAAAAAAGTTTGAATTTGAAAATTTGAAAGCATGAATATTACGGGAAAGTGACAAATACTCCGGGGAAGTTCCGGGTGTGTATTATAGTATAGGGGTGGTCTGAGGGGGTTTTCCTGAGGGGGGTGGTCTGAGCAAAAAAAAAAATTTTAATTCAAGTAGCTGTACCAAACTTAGTTAGTCTTCCAGCTCACAGACTGGACTAAAAGGTGGCCTGCTATTAAAACATGTTGTACCCCAAATCATCACTAACACTGCCCACGAGTAAGGACAGTATAGAGTTCATCAGCTAGTTGTAAATTTTTTCTGCGTCCATCATGAGCCCACAAACAGAATCAGGACTTATCACTAAGGACTACATAACATCTGCATCATGTATACAGTACAATCATTCATTGCACCATTGCAATCCGAACAGGATGAATTGGAGCGTTTCTATGCCTACCTAAGGGGTAGGCTTGGTAAAAACGAAGTCCACAGGATATTATTCGTTGATATACGAACGCCATAGACACTCTTCGTTTTAAATTTACCTTCCAAAAATTTCCCACAGCTCGTGTTGTGGAAAATCAGTCTCTTACCGCCAACATTCTCAGATGACGTTCTTTACGATCTGTAGTCCTCCGAAGACATCCTGATCCTCGGCGACTTTTAGCAGCTTTTTCAGACCACATGTACTGTAGAAATGTAAAAGTGGGACTGACAAGGATTTATGTACGTTTAGCAAAGAATGATTTTAAATATACGCTTTTCTACATAAAAATCACAACAAACACCAAGATAATTATTACGCTATTAGGACTGTGTCATCTTAAAGACATTTTATTATTATCATTATCTGCATAGGAGGTTACACTGTTTTTAGGAATATTTAGTAGCAGGTCATTTACATATAATATAAAAAGAAGTAGTCCCAGTTTTGTGCCATGAGGTCGCCAGTATTTACCTATTGGTAATAACTGTAAATATTTTGTACATTTACCCTTTGATTTCTATCACTCAAGTAATTTTTAATTAACTTATGTACTACGTAACTTATATAATTTTTTAACAATATATCATGACTGACAGTGCCAAATGCCTTTGCTAAATCCAAAAAAACTACAATAATTGGCCTGCTGTTGTCCAAACTATTGTAAATTAATTCTGAGACATTTTTACTGCATATGTTGTACCAATATTTGCACGAAACCCAAATTGACAGCTACTTATTATATTGTTTTTCTTAATAAAGTTATTTAGTCTACTATATAATACCTTTTCAACTACCTTAGCTATGTTTGATATTAATGAAATTGGTCTGTAATTTGTAATATCCCCTTTATCACCAGATTTATATATTGGAACTACATCTGCTATTTTCAGAGCATTTGGCCAAATGGATTGTTCAAAACAAAGGTTTATGATATGAGCCAACGGGTTTGATAAGAATCCCGATAATATTTTTAGCGTTTTGACATGCATGTTGTCAACCCCACCAGATTTATCTTTAAGTCTATTTATTATTGAATCTACTTCTACAGAATCTGTTGAGTACAGAAACATACTTTTAGTTATTTTAAATAATCCTCGACATTTCCATATTAGTGCCCGTTTGGGTGATCCCGGTAGCCTGAACGGCACTAAATGAAAAACAAACTATTTTTAAAGATGCGTGGTATGTAACCGGTATGTAGTAATCTCCGATCTATTTCCCTACATACCGCATCGGCGTCTAGTCTGGTCGTCTTGTTATTGATGTAAATAAAGCGGGATCTGGGTCACATCATTAGAGCGGACACTATTCATGAAGCTCACATAAAAACATTAATTAACTGAAATTGTTGGGTACCTACTGGGATGTGGGTATCAAGTAGCTAATCTGATTAGAGGATCGAGCTTCTCTTTAGTGAGTACACACACGAGGCTGCATGATAAACTAAGCGGTTTCAGGAACCGATCGAGGAATAACACTTCCACAAGTAGTTTTTTGTTTTTTCCTGTGTCAACTTCTACAATTATCTGACAGAGTAAAATAAGTGGTTCCCCCAAAGGAGTAGTCTTTAATTCAAATAAATTAATTCTTTCAGTGGAGTCAGTAAAATGAGTATCTCCTAATTGTTAAAGATATACTTGTTTTTGTGAAAGGAGAAGTATCTTCAAACAACCATTTAGCCAATTTCAAAGATTAATATATTTTTATTCCTTTAATTGTAGACAAAATAAAATTGATATTTAGCAGAAAAGAGCATTATACCTACACAGTTTTTTTTTTTAATATTTTGACCTACACAAAAAATATCAATAAAACCATATACACAAATAACCTATGTTAGGTTATTTTATGCAATCAATATAATTATAGTAGTTTACTATATTTTCATAAAAAAGGCAAATGGCAAAAATAACGCGTATGTAAAATACGACTCTTGGCTACATAGCAAATTAGAAGATTGAGAAAGACGCGCGTCTGCCTGCCATGATGTGATCGCGCTGCTCTTTTATAGGTTGGTATGAAGTCACGTGATCAACGAGCTGTGTATTCAAGTAAATCGTAGTGTTTATTTATTTAAAGACAAATATTTCTTTGGTTGTTAAATGTAAATTAAAATATATTTGGTTGAATTAATATTCGCTTAATGTTGAATTGTTGAATTATTTTTATTACTTTCAATAATTCAAATAAAATGCTGTATATTTCTAATGCAATGGATTAAACCGCAAAGGAACACGGATTATTAATTTAAACAAACTATTTTCTCTGTGTACTAGTATCTGCCTAGTATCTATTATCACTGGAATTTTAAATAAAATGTTGACGCTACATTTAAAACAGAAATGTCAAAAATTACGTTCTGTGTAATTAAGTACTATATGCACAAGTGTAAAACAAGTAAAGTATATACAAGTAAGTACTAATAAAGACATTAAAAATGTCTTAAAATTATACTTTTTTTATATACCTATTCAAGTCTCAAAATCAA